ATATATAACTTCCCCAAAACATTTTTTTGTATAGCAGTCCCCTTGAAAACCTATCGTTTTATACCGTAAACATGTTTGTACACAATTTTATGTTCAACAATTGGACACATAATTTTCACTTACAAAATACACTTTATTTTGTTCTTTCTGTAACTATAATGGTGTTTAAAATCGTTTGAAAAAGTAAAAAAAATAGTCTTTTGCTGGTTTTCTGTATCAATTTTGCATGCTTACTCATATTTAGCAAAAAAAATTAAATTCTGCATTTTGGGTCTGATTTACTGAATTATTCATTCAGTAAAAACTCAATCAACAGGTCAATTTATCTTCACTAAAACAATTTTGTTGGCATCTGTTTGTAAAACTAATAGAATGAACTGCATGAATGCATACCACAGGCAAACAAGACAAAAAATTTCAAAGAAGACACAGCATATCATGAGTCTATACTTTATTTCCTACTGTGTATGTTCCATAGATAATAGAATTTGTTGGGGTAACAGAGAACCAACCATTCAATCTACATATGTAAAACATGCAAATACAAATGAATCTTTACCAAATAAAGTAAAACAGTCAGAGTGAAACAGCAGCTCTACAAGGACTCCTACCTTCCTGGTCATATTGATTTCTATTAACCAACAAAATCAGATTAGCCACTCATCAATAACTGCTTTGACTTTCAAATCATTTTCTTTGTTCTTTCTCCATGCTTTTCCCTCATGCAAATAAGCACAACCATCTGCTACAACATGCACACCAAAGTACTGAAAGGTTTGAACAATAAAACTGTTAAATTTATCAGCTTAATAGGAAAAAAAAATCACTAAATTAGTGTCGCAAAAGTTGGCACATTGGAGATCACTAAAGAATGCACCAAGGCATGACTTTGGTTTTAATGTGAACACATCATACATAACACTAACTCCTCACTGTAATTAGACCGGTTCTTCTCCAGATGACCATGACTCAGCCTCGACTTCAGATTCCTCAGAATGGACCAACACTTTCTTCACTTCCACGTGTATTTGTTCCTGCTCTTTCATGGCATCCATGGCTTTAGATGAGTCAACATCTGACTTGGAGTTTCCATTAACCACGTTTGGGTTTTCCAAATTCCCCCAAATCTGGTTGTCAGTGAAGTCTTGATTCTGATTAGTTCTTTCAGCCGCTTTGTTACAGGCATCATCTGGTTTATAAGTGGCTCCGCTCTCCAACGAGGACACCCAGAAATCTTTCTTCACATCTGAAGTGAAGAGGTTATGGAGGCTGCTGTCTGTTACATCTTTCATTATGAAGATATCCTTTTGACTGGGAACACTGTCAGAGGAACCTTTGACAAGTTCTTCTTGATGTATTACAACATCATCAGCAGCTAAATCTGGCATGTTTTCATTTCTTTGATCTTGTTTGTTTTGGTCTTGGTTTTCTAAAACTTCACATTCAGCTGTTTCTGTGGGAAACTTGTAAAAGTCCTCACCATCCTCATTCACATGTTCTTGACTATCTTTGGGTGTTTCTTCAGGTAGGGCCTCTGGGATCTCTTGGGCAGCAGGTATATCATGCAAGTTTTTCTGATCTGTATCCTCCAGTACCACATGGTTTGAATCATCTGGGTTCTTTGAGTCCTCCTTATCTTCCATTTCAGGTCTGTTGATGAAATCTGTAAAGGAAGAATGATCTTCCGTTGCATCAGTATCATGTACCGTGTGTTTATTGTGTTCACCCTCTTCCTCTGGTTTATCCGTGGTTTGTTGATTGTTGTGTTGGACTTCCTCTTCAGCTGTAAGGCTTGATGAATACATTGTTGTGTATGGATCACTAAACATTTGGTTTTCCAAAACTTCACATTCAACTGTTTCTGCAGGGAACTTGTAAAAGTCCTCACTATCCTCAATCACATGTTCTTGACCATCTTTGGGTGTCTCTTCAGGTAGGACCTCTTGGGCAGCAGGTATATTATGCAGGTTTTTCTGATCTGCATCCTCCAGTACCACAGGGTTTGGATCCCCTAGGATTGTTGTGTCCTTATCTTCCATGTCAGGTTTGTTGATGGAATCTGTAAAGCCAGAATGATCCTCTGTTGCATCAATATCATGTACCGTGTGTATATTGTGTTCACCCTCTTCCTCTGGTTTATCTGTGGTCTGTTGATCTTTATGTTGAACGTCCTCTTCAGCTGTAGTGTTTGACTGAAACATTGCTGCATATGGATCACTAAACATTTGGTTATCCAAGACATCACATTTAGCTGTTTCTGGAGCAAACTTGTGAAAGTGCTCATCTTCCTCATTCACATGTTCCTGATCATCTTTGGGTGTCTCTTCAGGTAGGGTCTCTGGGGCATCAGGTATATCGTGCAGGTTTTTCTGATCCGCTTCCACTTGTACCACGGGGTTTGGATCCTCTGTGTTCTTTGTGTCCTCCACATGTTCCAGTTTAGATTTGTTGATGAAATCTGTAATGATAGGTTGATCCTCTGTTGGGTCAGCATCATGAATCGTGTGTATATTGTGTTCAACCTCATCTTCTCCCTCTGGTTTGTCCATGGTTTGTTGGACTTCCTCCTCAGCTGTAATGTTTGATGGATACATCGCTGTGTACGGATCACTAAACATTTGGTTTTCTAAAGCTTGATCTAGAGTTGATATTATGTGTTTATGGTTTTCACTAATTCCAGGCTCACAGGAAGTCAAGTCGTCTGCTTTTGCTTTTTCATGCTCTGCTTGCTCATCCACCTCCTCCACACACTTGTCATCCATTTGTAGGATTTCTTCTCTGAACTGCTGTTCAGCAAAATGAACACCATATCTGTCTGTCGACAAATTTGCCATGAGCTTTTCTGTTGCCAACTCTTTGTCATTGTCTACATCAGTGTGTACATCAGCTCCTGTTAGCTCTTCGGTTTCTTTTTCCAAATGTTCCTCACTGACATTTTTCACTATCTCTTCTGCATTTTCTCTGTCAGTCACCGCTGTAACATGCTCACCTCCTATATGTTGGCTGACGTCTCTGTCTTCAACATGAGTGTATCCCAAATTATAGTCCTCGTCTAGTGTTTCTTCTTCCACTTCCTCACACAGATCTTCCATAGTACCAAATGTCTTTGACTTGCTGTCACTCCACGTCCCCATTCCTGCCTCGTCCATCTTTTTTTCCTGCTCACCCTCACTGGACTCGCTCTCATCAATGTGTGACGCCTGAGTGTTAGCATCTGTGTCATCGCTTTTGTATCGTATCAAGGGACGAGTGTCAGCAAGAGTGTTTTCCTGAGCGTAGCTGTCACTCTCCAGCTCTGTCCTCCATGACACACACACATTCTGAGAATCCTCTTCATCGTTTTCCTCTTCTTTGTCAGGAGAGGAAGCATCTTCTTGGTCCGACGTGTCTTGTCCCTCATCTACTTGTGGTAGCATCACAGAAGAGGCCTTATTGTCAATCTGAAAAGCTCCGTTCTTCTCTTCCTCCGGTTCTTTTGCTGATATGTCTTCCTCTGGCTCAGCATGCTGTTTTTTTCCTTCGTTTTTCATTTCATCAACTGTCGTTACATTGACCTTCCTCTCTATGACGCTATCCCACGTATCCATCTCTTCTCCGTCTGGGTACAACTTATCTTCAACTTCCTGCCCATATGTTCCTACCGTAACACTGCGCAATTCTTGTTTAATCATAACCGAAGGATCATTTGAAATGTTTTTATCTATACTAGGATCTGTCTCTAGGTTAAACACAGTTTCTATAGATTCAGATTCAGATTCTGGACTGCTTGGTCTGGATTCAGTGGTTGGTTCGAGCATGGCTTCAGTTTCTGATTCTGATGTTTCCTCTTGCACGTGGTCTGCCTCTTTGTCAGCATGCTGCGTCTTCATGGAGACACTGTCTTGAGTCTGTGGCTGTAGCACATCTTTTTCACTTTCCCCCTGAAAGGCCACTTGTTCCGGTTCATCTGAGACACGGCTGAGCTCTTCTCCCTCTTGAAAGCTGCACAATGCGAAGCTTGGTGTTGCAACGTGACAGAGGCTGGCTTCGTCTTCTAAAGGCGGCTCATTTCTGAGGCCAGACTCAACCTTCTGACTGACGACTGACTCTGTCACTATTTGTTCCTCAGCAGGTTCAACAACAACGTTATTTACCTCCAAACTATCAAGGGGTGTCCCTTGCTCAATAGAAGGCGATAAAGGCTTAGCATCTGTGCCTTTCTCATACACCTTCTGTGATTTCAAGTTTTCAGCAGCTTCAAATTCAACACTTTTTGGATAACAGCTTTCTAATGTTGCTGACTTTTTTGTATCTGTCTTTGCGGGTTTGCTTGAAAACTTCGGAGTTTCGTTTAAAGTAGCAGGTTTTGTACTCCTGATTTGTGCGGCAGTTCCTGTGGATCTGGTTGTGCCGAGGACAGATGAGGGGAAAGTGGTCTTAAAGCCAGCAGACAGCTGGGTCTGGTAATTCTTTTTAACCCCATGAGGTCCCAAAACTGCATCTGTGGAAAAGAGAATTCATGAATAAACAATGAACTAATCTACTGTACTAATAATGACTTGTACATGTAACACATGAACATATAAGTATTAAATTAAAGAAATCTTATTGGTTAAGAAATTCAACAAAAATATTCTTTATTGTAAGGTATCTGATTTTTGCATAGACTGCTGTTGGGGCATAAATAAGGAGACTCTGCATCTTCTAAGCATTATTAAAATGCATGTTCTCAGGTCAGTTTGAACACTAATGGAAGATATTGATCGTCATTTCCTTTCATTGCTCTCTAGGATACGGGAAGGCAAAGGCATGACTCAATAACCAGTGGGGTCTTTGGTGGCTTATATTACAGGACCCAAAGTGCCTACCTCAGCCCCCTTCCTCAAATCCCCACCCGACCACCAGTCTCCAGTAAGACAAATTCAATTACAAACCCTATCAAACATGCCTCCCACTCACAGGAGCTTTTACTTGGACAAAGTGAAATGATATTCCGAGAAAAAGGGAGTATCATAGTACATGAAGGAATAGGCATAAAGCAGACAATCCATGTGACATGAACGCAGCGGGAGCAAAGCGACAGACATGATGCCTATTCTTTTGATTACCTCTGATGGAAATATTTCTTGGCTTGTGTGACACGTCTGCCCCGAGGCCTTCGCTGTCCAGCAGAGCTCTGTGGAAACAAACAACGGGGTAAAAATCACATCCTAAAGTTGCCCAGCATTCGACACGCATATACAGAGGATAATGTGACACTTAAAGGGATCCACGATTAGTTGTAACATTAAAATTTATTTGACAAACATTTATTTTAACTGTAAAATGAAGACTGTAAAAATACTGTAGGCTGTTTAGTTTTGTAATTTTTTTAAAATATATTTTAACACGGACGGCGCCATTTTATTTACACGCAAAGCATTCTGKGTAAATGATGACATCAACTAGGTCATCGGTGTGAGGCTGCTAGCGAGCTATATCAACCTGAAGGTTAATCTTGGACAATATCTGATGATCGACTCTTTTAAATGAAACCAGAGAGCGTTGACAGAGAGGAGAAGGTAGAAATGACTCAGCCTGTAACTGAAAATATAGATGGAGGACAACAGAGCTGCTTCATGGAAGAAGAACCTCAGCTTAGCCTGTTAGCCCTCACGCTATATTGCCTTATATGTATTAGCTTGGCGCTAGCGCGACAAACAAGCTAAACTGAGGTCCTCCATCCATATTTTCAGTTGCAGCCTGAGTCATTTTTGCGTTCCCCTCTCTGTCATGTGGATGGAGGACCTCAGTGATGAGAGGAGAATGTGTAGCACTGAGCTAATACATAAATATGGTGATAGCATCGGGGCTAACGCTAAAGCTAACAGGCTAAGCTGAGGTTCTTCTTCCATGAAGCAGCTCTGTTGTCCTCCATCTATATTTTCAGTTACAGGCTGAGTCATTTCTACCTTCTCCTCTCTGTCAACGCTCTCTGGTTTCATTTAAAAGAGTCGATCGTCAGATATTGTCCAAGATTAACCTTCAGGGTGGATATAGCTCGCTAGCAGCCTCGTGCCGATGATCTAGTTGATGTCATCATTTACCCAGAATGCTTTGCTTGTAAATAAAATGGCCCCGTCCGTGTAATATATTTTAAAACTTTTAGTTTAAAAATTATAAAAACTGAACATCCTACAGTATTTTTACCGTCTTTATTTTACCGTTACAGTATATGTTTATCATATAAAGTCTAATGTTACACCTAATCGGGGATCCCTTTAAACATTTGGTGTTGCATGATGCTGCACTCAGAGCCGTGGGTGGGAAGAGGAGCGCTGCTCTCCAGCAGCAGCAGCACACAGAGGTCTGTTGTTATGGTAATGAAGGAAAAGCCCCATCTATTCAGGAGCCATCTGCAGCACGCAAACCTCACACACACACACATACACACACACAGAACCACACATGACAGCAGATATTGCAAGCAGCCCATGCAGCACTAATGGGACTGTTTCCATTCACACATGTGGACCACCACAGCCTCCATTCCAGCACACACAATTAGCCGCATTGATCCAGTTTATTCAAAATTAAGAAAACAGTGCGTTGTTAAAATAAAATGAAGTATAGCAACAGCTTTACTAAATGATTCTGAGATTTGTCCTCTAGTCTCGTCCTCTCCCCACCTGCACCCCTGTGCTGTTACTCTAGACTCCCACAGCTCATAAATTGGCAGCTTCTCACAGAAAAGGGTGAGGGTCAATACTCCCAGGACGGGGTGGGGGCACACCGCTATAGAGCTGTATAATGGATATGTTACTCTGTCCAAGACACGAGGCGCTGATGTTACAACGAAGCCAGTCTAGTCTGCTGTTCTTGCTGTGGACAGTTTTTTTTTAACAGCTTCTCATGCTCATGTACAAGTGTTTGTTTCTGAGCAGCAGCGTTTCAACGTGTTTAACCTGCTGTGGAAACCACAATGGGCGTTGGGTGAAAATACAGGGTTTCACAAATCTCACAACTCCAAAACTATCCTGTTTGCATGCTTTCCAACCACTTTTTATATGTTTATATTAACTAAATAAATATTCAGTTTATTGCTTTTACTTATAAATAAATCAATCAGTTCCCAACGCTAAATGATGAGCCCTATTTACACCTGTTTATTCAACAGTTATAAGTTGAATGTAATTCTGATATGTGTATTAAAAAAAAAAGCACTCAATTGAATTTGCTAAAAAAAACAAGAAAGTTTGAGTCACATAATCTAACAATTTAAAGCTGGCTGTAATCTGTGTTGGTGGGTTATTTAATATTTTAACTATTTTCATTCATTCACTTCTTTCTAAAGGTAAATAAAAGCTCACGGTATCTGGTCACCAATTTTGTTCCTAAACTTTTATTTCAAAAAAGAACGTTGACCTTGACGTTGGAAATTTATTTTTGCAAATGTTGTTTCTCACTTTCCTGAGACCTTTCTGATCTGTGTACCTGTATGTTGTCACTTCCTGGCCGAGGGACATCTTCAGCTGCATCAGGCTGCGGTTCTCCTGGAGGAGGTGAGCAATTTGCTGAGCCAGCTTCTCCTTCTCCATCTCCAAATCCTCCAAGTGCTCCTACACAAACAGGAAGAGGAGGCAGGTAAAATCAGTCTGAGATTTTTTTTTCTGTTTACCTTGAAAAGAAGCTGAGTTTGTTTTACTGCCTTATATAAGGTGTGATTTGAAGATCAAAATAATTCAGAGTAAAAAAAACAAACAGCTAAAACTAACATTTCAACTCCAGCCTGCCTCAGTAGGATTTTAAGATCCATCCGTGTTTGCCAAAAAATTCTGAGCTTTTGGGGGTTCACCACTCAGACCTCACATTGGCCCTGAACTAATCCTGACAACTGCAGTCCTAAAATATGTACCCCCCCCCCCCCCCACACACACACACACACACACACACACACACACCAAACATTTGCTTTCATACCCAAATGTTCAATTCATTGCATCAGAATTTTAAATGAACCAAGAAAGTAAGGCTCCCTGAAAGAGGAGCTCAACAATGCTGGGTAAAGTTAGTTGCTTTTCTTCCTTGAAAGACTTGTAAAATTCTAAAATAAATAAATCGTAAAACTGTGAAATTCAACGCTGCATGTGCCTAAACTGCATTTTGCCTGACTTATTGTCTGAGAATGGTGCTTTTGAAGAAGTCACATCACTTTGGGGTTCATTACTTCATTATCTCAGGTGGGAATGTTGCTTCATAATCATCCAGCTCATGAAAACTGTTGTCAGTTTACCAACCTGCTGCTTTACAGAAACCTCAAAAGAAGAAAACTATTTAAAAGAACTACCAATAACCAGAAAACCTAAATGTTTTGCAAAACCTTTTTTAAGTAATTGTATAAAAAGACAGACTTGTAAAAAGTGTATTTTGTTATAAGTTATATCTGTTTATGACCTATTTAACAATAACCTGCTCGGCTGCCACAAATCTTAATGCTGTATAAAATATGTCTTACCTTAATGTTAATGTTCATTTTTATTTTAATCTGCAGATGTGATTTTAACGCGTAAATATTATTTAAAAAGGAAAACTTGAATGGTCCCAGACTCACCTGGAGGTGCTGGATCTCCTGGCAGTGCTCCTCCCTGCGTTGGGACACGGTCCTCTCCAGATGCAGCCTGACGTCGTGAGCTGAGGCCATCTCTTTCTCCAGGGTTTGAAGTTTCAACTGGCTCTCGTGCTTCTCCTGGTGAACGTGATTCAAACGGCTCCTGGCCTCCTCGAGCGACTCCTCTAACCGAGCTAACTGGCCCTGAAAGGCCGCCGCAGCCTCCTGCCACGCTCTGGTTGCCCTCTGGGAAAACTCCTGGCCCATTCTGAGGAGGTCCGGTGCCTGGTTGGTCCTGTGAGCCTGAGCTGGAGGCACCATGGCTCTGGATTGGATGGCCGTGGCCTCCAGATGAGCCACATCTTCCTCGTGGGTTTGAATGAGAAGTGTCATTTCCTGCTCCAGCTGATTGACCTTCTCCCTGAGCCACATCTGTGCCCTCTCTTCCTCCTGCAGCTCCTTCCTGCTTTGCTCCAGCTTTGATGTGGCGATCGCCTTGGCCTGAGCTTCCCTCTGCCTTTGCAGCTCCAAGTCGTGGAGCTCCTCGACCATCTTCTCCACTTCCACCTCCGAGAGGACCCTCTCCCTCCAGGCTGCGTCCACGTCCAGCCTCGCCCGCTGCAGCTCGTCCTCTAAGCCTCTCCTGTGCGCCAAGGCCCCCTGGTTGTTGTGTCTCAGAGCTTTAATCTCATTTGCAAGCAGCTCGTTCTCCTCCTCTAGAAGTTTGACCCGGCTCAGGTAGGTTTCCAGGCGCCTGTTCAGGTTCAGCATCTGTTGCTTCTCCTCACCGAGGTGGTTTGGCTGGAAGATTTTGTACGCACTTTGAAACTCCATGTCAGTGTTGAGAAGTAAGTTTTAAACAAAGCGAGACGTCACTCAGAAGCTGTGGCTCTGTGTCCAGGCCTGGGGCAGAGTGTGTGGGTCTGCCTGTGTGGGAGTGAAGCTCCTGTGAGGCTGTGGTGATGCCAGCAAGAGACTCCCCTTTTCATACTGGGCTAAATGAAAGGGGCTGGGCACTTGGACAAAGAGGGGAGGAGGGACAGAGAGGGAGGAGACAGGAAACCGGAGAAGGAGGGGAGAAAATAGGAGGACTGCTGTAGAGGGAGGGGGTGGGATGAGGGAAAATGTTGAAGATGTGATGGAGAGCTGCAAAACATAGAGAGGAGTAGACATAGGCAGTGATACAAGTTACAAGATGTCCCAAATATTTTAAAACAGTCAGCTATTCAAGTAAGCTTTGATTGGATTTGTCATGATCTGTGTTTTTGTTGGGTTGTCTTTTGTGTTTTACAGTTATTCTGTCTTTTGTTTCCTGTATTAACTTCTATCTACTCGTGTTTTCTTTCCTGTCCCTGTCATCTTTCACTCATCCTCAGTCAGTTCCACTCACGGAGGATGTGTCTCAAGGCCACACCCTACGTGGGCCGTAGGGCCTCAGTGTAGGCTGCATAAACAGCTGTGAAACGAGATGGTCTCGTCTATGGATGACGTATGTTTGCATGACTGTGTGGCAAAGGTGAAAGAGCTGGGAAAGCAAAGCGAACAACTACGAAAGGAGAACGCTGACCTTAAAACGAGGCTCAGAGAACAGGAAAGATGCAGAAATGGATGGAGCCTTCGTATAAACTGCTTGAAGGAGGAGAAAGCTGAGGATATCAGGACCAGAGGCGATTTCTCTTAGACTGCAAGGGAAGCTCAGCTTCCCCTAAAATGTAAAAAAAAAGAAAAAAAAGATAAAATATATACTGTTGTGTGTACATGTCATTCACTAAATATGCGCTACAATGTGCTCAACTTTTGTTCAGAATCAGATTCTTATCACTGATAACGACGCAGCTTTCCTCATTTCCTAATTCCCTCAGCTTCATGGTGCTTTAAACAGTCAGACACTGAGCGTCAGAGCTCATTAGTGATGCAAAGACTGCAGTCAAACGAGACGAGTCATTGGATAAATGCTGGCTTTGTCCCGCCCACCGGACGCTGAGCATCTCTGGGGGTCTATGGGGCAGGGGGCTGGGTCGGACGCTGGCTGTCTGCATGATGATTGGATGATCTGTCGGAGGCTGAATCCCTTTTTGATTGACAGCGAAATGAACGAATCAGTGATCTTTTTGGTGTAAACGTGCATGGGAGCCGTTTTTAGTTTCGTTTCTGTTCTGAGTTGAAGCGGAGACTTTATTGATCCTTTTAGCAGCATTTTCTTTGTTAAAAACGACTGTCAACAAATCGAGCTTCTATTTCTGGTGTTATTTCTGTAGCTGCTTGTGTTTGGAGACATTTCTATCATTCTTTCTGACTTCTTCTGTCCAGCGGGGGTGCTGAGCCCCTTCACCTTCATAAAACACTCACAGACGGACACACCACTCTAGCCTCGCTCCAGTAACAAGCTGCACATGATAGCAGTTTGAATGTTGTGGACTGGATTTTGGTGAAGCCATTATAGTCTTGTTTACAAAGAAAAACTTAAGAGTTAAACAGCAGGGCTGATCAACTCCTCAGATTACTTTGGTGCAAAAGGTGGGGAAATAACAGGTCTTTTCAGCTGTCCTGGTATAACAAAGTAAACTGGCTGCTGTAAAAGACTATAGAATAATCAGGAAAATGATTATAAAAGCATTGGATCAATTAATTCCTTTAAAAAAATCTAAGCAAATTTGTTAAAGAAATATGAAATTGTTTAATTTGTATAAGTCACTGTTTGAGGAGTTGAATTTTTTTTAGTTTTGTTTTATTATTTGGTTTATTGTTTGAAATTAATCTTTTTTTTTGTAAAAAGGCTGTCTCTTATGATATTCTTCTTCCTCTGTTTCCTTTCATTTTATTTTATTTGTATTGTTTTGTTGTATGTAATGTTTTGTTTTTTAAAATGAAATGAATAAATACTATAAACTAAACAAAATGATCTATGACAGGGTCACAGATCATTTTCTTGAAAAGGAACGGAGGGTAGAATTTATAACCCACACTTTTTATGATGTCGGCCAAAACTGAGCTTCCTCTTGTTGAAAGACCAGCATCTGCCACTGATCAGGACTTTAGTCATACAGACTCTAAAACACCGTTCCTGAATCTGAGTCTAAGCTGGAGGAGGCAGTGGATGTTGTGCACAGACTGCGGAGGAAGATGGAGAACAAAAAAAGAAATGTCATTGTTTTCTTCACACTAAGATCAATGAAAGAAGATATCTGAAGGAAAACCAAAAAAATCCACTTACTCCAGGGAGACAGGGGAATCAAGTTTGCTGAAATGCTACCTAAAGATCACTAGTAGGAGAGAAATTGCAGCCACTTAATGATCAAGCCAGGAAAGCCGGACAGGTGGCTGTTTTCTTGGCCTTTTTGGATATATTGATGGGCGCCAAATCAGAGGAGAAGACACACGTACAAAATAAGATGGAGATGCAGGAATTGTAAAAGTTCTTGCAAGTGCAACTTTTACTAAAGGTCACTTTTTGTTAATTGTTAACTGATAGGGTCACAAACTTTTCAACTTAAGGATAGTTTATTTCTTTGTTTTTGTTCTTTTAATATTAAATG